GAGTCTTGGTCGCTTCCTGAGGTAGTTTTATGAGTCTTGGTCGCTTCCTGAGGTAGTTTTATGAGTCTTGGTCGCTTCCTGAGGTAGTTTTGTGAGTCTTGGTCGCTTCCTGAGGTAGTTTTGTGAGTCTTGGTCGCTTCCTGAGGTAGTTTTGTGGGTCTTGGTCGCTTCCTGAGGTAGTTTTGTGAGTTTTGGTCGCTTCCTGAGGTAGTTTTGTGAGTTTTGGTCGCTTCCTGAGGTAGTTTTGTGAGTTTTGGTCGCTTCCTGAGGTAGTTTTGTGGGTCTTGGTCGCTTCCTGAGGTAGTTTTGTGGGTCTTGGTCGCTTCCTGAGGTAGTTTTGTGAGTTTTGGTCGCTTCCTGAGGTAGTTTTGTGGGTCTTGGTCGCTTCCTGAGGTAGTTTTGTGAGTCTTGGTCGCTTCCTGAGGTAGTTTTATGAGTCTTGGTCGCTTCCTGAGGTAGTTTTGTGAGTCTTGGTCGCTTCCTGAGGTAGTTTTGTGAGTCTTGGTCGCTTCCTGAGGTAGTTTTATGAGTCTTGGTCGCTTCCTGAGGTAGTTTTGTGAGTCTTGGTCGCTTCCTGAGGTAGTTTTGTGAGTCTTGGTCGCTTCCTGAGGTAGTTTTGTGAGTCTTGGTCGCTTCCTGAGGTAGTTTTGTGGGTCTTGGTCGCTTCCTGAGGTAGTTTTGTGAGTTTTGGTCGCTTCCTGAGGTAGTTTTGTGAGTTTTGGTCGCTTCCTGAGGTAGTTTTGTGAGTCTTGGTCGCTTCCTGAGGTAGTTTTGTGAGTTTTGGTCGCTTCCTGAGGTAGTTTTGTGAGTCTTGGTCGCTTCCTGAGGTAGTTTTGTGAGTTTTGGTCGCTTCCTGAGGTAGTTTTGTGAGTTTTGGTCGCTTCCTGAGGTAGTTTTGTGAGTTTTGGTCGCTTCCTGAGGTAGTTTTGTGAGTCTTGGTCGCTTCCTGAGGTAGTTTTGTTGTTTGATCGTTGTAAGAGTTACTTGTTCGGTTATTTCTAAACAGAATACATATTTAACCTAGACCTAAGCGTGCATTAGGCCTAGGTTCATTCATTAGTATACAATGGGAACTTTATGGGTTTCGAACAGTACATATTGGAACGTCTGACCAAATAGTATTCCAAATACAATCATTTTAGGAGGATAGGCAGAGTCGCTTATCTCTCTCATAGCCAGAATGCCACACGTGACTGCCATGCTTCCTGTGGGTATAATTCTACCCATTTTTACCCAATACCTGGCAAGCAACGCTGTACTCCGTTTTGCAACATCGCTGCTCCCTGCACTGAGGTAGGCAACAGATTGGCTCTCATTAGCACTCGATGCTTATCACTCATGTCACCGTACAACCCGTTCTCGCACTTGCTTACAATCAATATTTGCTTATTTAATAAGTGCATATGTGACATACTAATTGGTTGTGAATATTTTAGTTTACCTTGAAAAGCTTCATAGACAACACCGACCTCACCTAACCTTCTTAGTATATTGACAATAAGCAAGTGCGAGAACGGGTTGCACCGTATGCAGACGAGGAGTCACAATTTCGTGGCTGAAATATATTGACCAAACCACACACTAGAAAGTGAAGGGACGACGACGTTTCGGTCCGTCCTGGATCATTCTCAGTCGATTGTGAGAATGTCTCACAATCGACTTGAGAATGGTCCAGGACGGACCGAAACGTCGTCGTCCCTTCACTTTCTAGTGTGTGGTCTGGTCAACTGATGTCACCCATCCGAGCCCCAAGCCAAATGATTAAGTCACCCATCCCAGCCTTAGGGAAGCTCACCAACATCCCATTTTCGCCTATCCTGGTCACAAACTGCCTGCCAGCACTAGACAGCGAAGCGCCAGGGAAAAGCCTAAACCACACTACAGATTGATGAAGATTAAGCCACCAAAGAGGTGGCACGGACATGAATAGCCCCACACTACAACAGTCCTGTACTTTATATAGTACAGGAACCAAATCAAATACAGGAACACCCTCCCCCCCCCCTACGTGACGTCAGTCTAGGAACCATCATCCCTCCGCCAATCATGTGGGTAAAAAGAGCCCACCAATTGATCACTTCGCGAACGACTCGACCGAGAAACGCAAGTCCGGGAGCGATTAATTTTCGACATCCTCTCCTTTCAGAGATGCTCGCGAGGGGGATGATTATTTTATTGACAGCCCTCGTTCGCCTGCAGCCACTTTTATGGATTTTTATATTGCATGGCCGGTGGAATTGTCTGTGGTTGGAGGGTCGTGGGGGATGTTGCCTGTGGGATGGAAATAGAAATGGAATGGGAAATGGGATGGGAAGGGTACAGAGTTGGTAGTGACACATATACCACCAGTGGGACACAAAGGTAGCGACGCTGAACATCGAGGGTGAACACTTCCATTAGTTAACACAATGCTTCAAGATAAAAAAAAATGATTGAATATGGGGTCAAAAGAAACCCGGAAGTAACAGTGCAATCAATAAATACATTTGCAACATAAGAGGATTAGAACAAAGTAATGAACATAGCAATGCAGCTAAGGATGAATAACAACTTAGCAGAGGTGTTCTAGTCGGCTTAACAGGAAGATATCAGAGAATAACCACGTGACTGTGCTAAACAAGATGTGAGAGAGATATGACAGAATTTTATAAGGAACTCTATAAAAGGTTTCAGGCAATTATTATGTATCCTCTTTGTGGCTAAATAATCAGAATGATAATGAGTAAAGAGAGTGGGGAACACAGAACACAGAGAGCTACACACAACAGTAGGAGTTAGCAACAGTTGATTGACAGTTGAGAAGCGGGCCGAAAGAGCCAGAGCTCAACCCCCGCAAGCACAACTAGGTGACCACAACTAGGTGAAGACACACACACACACACACACACACACACACACACACACACACACACACACACACACACACACACACACACACACATTACAAACATGTAATCGGGCGGTTATCCTCCCTTTACACAAACAAGACCCGCCAGATAGCCTCGTCCACAGCGGAGTTAAATCTACGACTTATTTCCCCGGGATGACAGAAAACACAAAACTGAATATATGAATAACATCAACCTGAAATCTAATTTTGTATCATGTGTTTTGTACATGTTGTCAACGAGACACGACACAGAGGACACAGTTAGGCCTCCGGATATCAGGGGCGTCACCAGTAACCGGACCTCCGGATAAGATAACCCACAGTAATGAGGAAAAAAAAATCGACTTACAACCAAATCATTGAAATCTGGTTTGTTTATTGGGATGGGACAGGGATTGGGTTTCCTGGGATAATTCTGAACTGGGATCAGGGCACTGTTATTTTAGATTCAGCTACTTAGAACAAAAGTTCCAAAGTAGCACGGGCTATGGTGAGCCCGTTGAATTATACCTGTCCAGGCCAGGTTTTGTCACTAATCAAAACATCTACATTTTGTCAGCCACTGGTGGTATGAGGTGTGTCCTCAACTGTCACGTGTGAACAGGTAAAGTGAACATGTGTGAACAGGTAAAGTGAACATGTGTGAACAGGTAAAGTGAACATGTGTGAACGTTCACATTACAGTGTTAGTATTTAACAACTTACATTATGGCCTCGAGAAAAAAGAGTCGAAGAATAGACAATAGTGAGGCACTAGGCTGGGATCGAACTCGTGTCCCTGGCCTCCTCAAACACACGCATTACCATGTAGACCATGATGAGCTTAAAAGTATCTCAATGCCAGGCTAGGAGCGCCCGCTAGGCTAGGCTAAGAGAGTTTGCTAGGCTATGGAGCCCATCCTCAGACCAAATACATTACCACGACTCCCCCCCCCCCCCCTCCTTAAACCACCTGGATAGGTATCTAGGTATTTGTGATGGTCTGAAAGCATATTACGGTTAAAGTAATAGTCTACATGTAAACTGGAAAGTGAACTTTTTTCCTAAACAGAGAAAATTCTCGGTATAACTTTACTGTATTATAAATAGTTCGTTTAAAATGTAAAAAGTGTAAGCTGAAAAAGCTTTTATTTTGAAGAATTTGGTTTTCTGTAAACTGAATTCTTGGGTACACTGAAATAGTTTATAAATTCCATATTTCACATTATCGTCAATAATACACCGTATTAACGTAACAAAACGTAATGAAACCTAAGCTAACTTAAAGTAACTTCAACCTAACCTAACCATAGATAGAGAGTAGATAATAACACTAATTATATAGTCGTTCTCAATCCATTCCCGTGAGCGTACTTCCTCCTTGAGGAAAGGTTGACGCTAAGAGCGCTTGCTAGGCTTGGCAAAGAGAACTCAGTAATCTTGCATTTCTGCTGTTAACCATTTCGTCAGAAGATACGAGAATCTATTCCGCTGCCTTTCTTAAAGTAATAAGAAGCTGAAGGCACCAAGCTGGAAAGACTATGTATCACCACATGTCATCAATCCCCTATAGTAATCTCTATATAATCCCTATAATCTCTAGTAATCCCTATATTACTCCCCAATAGTAATCTCTGGTCAGAAAGGTTCGTGTTGTCCATCCTGCCATTTTTCTTGCGATTGTCACAGCTATTTTATCGTGTTCTTTAAAAGTAAGATCTTCCGACATTATCACTCTCAAATCTTTTATATTACGCTTTCGCATACGTATACACCTGGCACACACATTTTTCACACACCTGGTGTACACACTTACCACACACACCTAACATACACCTGGCGTAACATAACGAACAACTGTCACACACACACACACACACACCAGACCCACAACCAGAGCATACCACACACACACACACACACACACACACACACACACACACACACACACACACACACACACACACGCACACACACACACACACACACACACACACACACACACCAGACCCACAACCAGAGCATACACCACACACACACACACACACACACACACACACACACACACACACACACACACACACACACACACACACACACACACACACACACACTACAGCAAGACACTCACGTGGGTACTGTGTAGACACAGACAGGCGTGGCAGCTCCCTCAGGTGAGTCCTTCCGTCCTCTCATCTGCCGGAGACAGAAGCTGTTAGCCCCAACACTAGCGCATCAAAACAATGGATAAACATCATTAAGAATATAAGAATTAAGGACACTACAACAGGCCTACTAGCTCACACGAGGCAGCTATTAAATCTCATCCAAATTATTTCATATATAGGCCTATCCTACGCCTGAAACAATAATAATTCATTGTGTCGTAATTCGTCGTATGATTATGGAAAGATGTAGAGGTTTCGGAAGTGGTAAATGCTTGATAAATCCTGGCTTAGGTTTCATTTTCGTTTGCACCACGCGGGGATGATGACGTTCCGTCAGTTAAGACCTTCTGTCTAATGCATTTTAAATGTCTTCTTGAGGTTATCTTGAGATGATTTCGGGGCTTTAGTGTCCCCGCGGCCCGGTCCTCGACCAGGCCTCCACCCCCAGGAAGCAGCCCGTGACAGCTGACTAACACCCAGGTACCTATTTTACTGCTAGGTAACAGGGGCATAGGGTGAAAGAAACTCTGCCCATTGTTTCTCGCCGGCGCCTGGGATCGAACCCAGGACCACAGGATCACAAGTCCAGTAAGCCGTCCGCTCGGCCGACCGGCTCCTTGTCTAATGACAGCTTTTGTCTAAAGTTGTAATTTACAAAGTCGTATATTAAATATGTAAAATATCTGACGTAGTAGGCTGTAACCTCAAGAAATATGTATTTAAATCTATAATTTAAACCTGTTATCTTAAGATTTTGTTATCTAAAGGTTGTTAACAATGAGGTTAAACACACAGGTTGTTAAGATTTCTCTGGTGATTGATTGTGAGAAGAGATTATATGTTCCTTGAAGAATGTTCTGTCTTGCAGTGAATATAATCACCATCCGCGTTACAATAACATCTAAATGAATTACTCCGAGAATCCAAAACTATTTATTACATTTGCCAATAAAGATAATAATAAAAAGATTTAATGATTGTGAGTGTTCATTGAAGACTTAACATTTTCAGGTGAGTGAAGTTTGAGAACAAGACAACACTTACAAGTATAACTTGGATAAATTTGAGACGTCTCAGGAAACTCTATAATCCAGTTCACACACACATTCCGGGATTATATTATCTCCAGGGAAAGACTTTTTGGGAGATTTTGGGTCAATGCCAACTGTGATTTCAGAGTGCCAAGAGATTTCCAAATCTGGAACTTGCTTCGTATTTTTGTATAAAAATTGTGTATAAAATTGACCCTGGTTTAATATATTTGAAATACTGCATTTTTACAGTGTGGAGGCTCTTGTCTAACCCATTTCTTATTGCCCTGAAGCTATCACGCTGTATGGGTAGCTGGTCGGTGAAGCGATCTAGCAGCTGGTGGTGGATGGTCGGTGAAGCGATCTAGCAGCTTGTGGTGGATGGTCGGTGAAGCGATCTAGCAGCTTGTGGTGGATGGTCGGTGAAGCGATCTAGCAGCTTGTGGTGGATGGTCGGTGAAGCGATCTAGCAGCTTGTGGTGGATGGTCGGTGAAGCGATCTAGCAGCTGGTGGTGGATGGTCGGTGAAGCGATCTAGCAGCTTGTGGTGGATGGTCGGTGAAGCAATCTAGCAGCTTGTGGTGGATGGTCGGTGAAGCAATCTAGCAGCTTGTGGTGGATGGTAGGTGAAGCGATCTAGCAGCTTGTGGTGGATGGTTCTACGGCCTCACCCTCCCTCTACACTCCTCTTCACCAACCGCAGCTCAACCAGCCTCCATCAGCATCCATGCGCTGACGCCTGGACACACATCAGCTTAGAGCGACCGCCCTTCTCCTACAAGACGTCTAATCCTGAGTTCAAGGAGAGTGCACACACTATCTATTGTTGTCCGGGGGGCTATTGGGCAGCTCATGTTTGGTTTGTGCCTGTTATTACGATACTACAATTGCATATATTCAGTAATACTCCTAATAAACATATGTTCCCTGCTGTCATTTGGCTACACCAGGAGAGGTACGACCACTCCTCCGTCTTTCTGTCTTATTTTTACTAACCTGGGATTTTATTGAGCCTCCACATAGCATGAGTATCTTCTGTAGCTTCCCCATGCTATGATGAGATACAGAAGCACAGACTGTATCATCCTAGAGTGTCCAACAACATTTGATATGTTGGTCCAGGACGGACCGAAACGTCGTCGTCCCTTCACTATCTAGTGTGTGGTTTGGTCAACAAATGTAGAGAAGTTCTCATGCCCAGTGCAGGAGAATGCACTAAGAACTACAGGAGGGATATATTAAGAAATTTGGACGCCACCTTCAGAAAAAAATCACTTCCTCCTCGAAAGCTAGAAGCTAGAAATCACTTTCTCCTTGTCACTAGTCACTAATAGGTAACTACTACCACCTCGACCACGACCCCATCAACCCCCCTCCAACCCCCCCTACCCCGTCAACCCCCCTCTAACCCCCCCCACCCGACTAGTTAGATCGATTTTCAAGAATTTCCGCCCAAAATAAAAATAAAAATAAGATATTAATTTTATATATTTGAAAAAGATCTCAAAACAACATTCATAATCTTTTAGAGTCTGTTGGAAATTTTTTTGGGGAAGAAAAACAAAAAAACGTTTTTTTTAGTTAATAATATAAAAAAGAGTTTCCACTGCAGCATTTAATTTTTAAATATTACATAAACATATGTATAACTATTTTGTGCGGTGAATACCCCAAAAAAGCATAATTACTGATGTTTTACATCAATTTTTATTTTTACATAAAAATATACCAGTTTTATTGTAAACATTAAAAAGTCTTTCACCTTTCTAATACAATTTTCCTCGTAACAATTTCACTTGATTTAATAACGCGTTGAAAACACCAGTCCGGATAAAATATCTGTATCGGAAGTATTATATCAGTGGAAAACTTGGAGGATATTCATCATATGTTAAACAATGATGTTTTTCCTACTGTGCGCGACTCTTGGGCAAAGTCAAGTCAGTAGGTGGGTGAGTGATGGAGCAGTCAGCTCTCCTGTGTGTGTGTGTGTGTGTGTGTGAGAGAGAGAGAGAGAGAGAGAGAGAGAGAGAGAGAGAGAGAGAGAGAGAGAGAGAGAAAGAGAGAGAGAGAGAGAGAGAGAGAGAGAGAGAGAGAGAGAGAGAGAGAGAGAGAGAGAGAGAGAGAGAGAGAGAGAGAGAGAGAGAGAGAGAGAGAGAGACAGAGAGACAGACAGAGAAAGAGAAAGAGAGAGAGAGAGAGAGAGAGAGAGAGAGAGAGAGAGAGAGAGAGAGAGAGAGAGAGAAGAGAGAGAGAGAGAGAGAGAGAGAGAGAGAGAGAGAGAGAGAACGTATCAGGGGGTAAAGCACCAAGCCATTACGACTATATAGCACTTGGAAGGAATCAGGATAAGGATTTGGGATAGGACGGGGGAAAGGAATGGTGCCCAACCACTTGGACAGTCGGGGATTGAACGCTTACCTACATGAAGCGAGATCGTCGCTCTACCGTCCAGCCCAAGTGGTAGGGACAGAGAGAGGGGGCGAGAGAGAGAGAGAGAGAGAGAGAGAGAGAGAGAGAGAGAGAGAGAGAGAGAGAGAGAGAGAGAGAGAGAGAGAGAGAGAGAGAGAGAGAGAGAGAGAGAGAGAGAGAGAGAGAGAGAATAAATACAACTCATGATTAACCTGTTAGCAAAGTTAGTGAGATGAAAGACTCAACTCATGTACTCAAAAAAAAATCTATGACCTTTCTTCAAAAGATCTTTTTCTTTGGCTCTCTCGCTCCTCAATGGCCGTATGACCTTTCCTCTACACCCTCCGCGATCACAGCCGGTTCTTGAGCACCACCAGGTCAGAGGTCATGAGACGCAAAGTGGCCCAAGGGTTTGTAAAAAGATCTTGTTTGACTTAGACATTTTCTTTCACAGTCAAACAAGCTCGAAGTTCTATTTGCTGACTCGTAAGACTATACGGGTGAGTGTCTTCCAATATACGTGTCTGTTGTGTGAAGAACAGTGATGTATGAAGAACAGGGATGTATAAAGAACAGGGATGTATGAAGAACAGGGATGTATGAAGAACAGGGATGTATGAAGAACAGGGATGTATGAAGAACAGGGATGTATGAAGAACAGGGATGTATGAAGAACAGGGATGTATGAAGCACTGTGACGTAAGAACAGGGATGTATGAAGAACACTGATGTATGAAGAACACTGATGTATGAAGAACACTGATGTATGAAGAACACTGATGTATGAAGAACACTGATGTATGAAGAACACTGATGTATGAAGAACACCTGTAAGACGAATATGACACAAATTATAACACAAAAGAACAGTTGCATCAACATGAACAATTACGGAACATTATTTGAAATTTATGATGTTCTGTTGAACAGATGAACTCAAGTCATTGAAAACTTTGTTCTTATTATGAACTGACGTACGACCGATAGTGACATCTATCTATCTATCTATCACAGATGTAGATAGAGGTTACATAGTTGACATTTCAGGTTCTCGTGAGTTGCTAAGCTCTCATGTGAGGTATGAGGCTGTGCTCACCCCGTCCTCATAAATTTAGGCCAAATACTCGTTAGGCCAGCAGCAGCCTCATTGTTTATGAGTGAAAGACACTTTCCACGCGCCTCACAAACAGCCGTCCACGCGCCTCACAAACACCCGTCCACGCGCCTCACAAGCAGCCGTCCACGCGCCTCACAAGCAGCCGTCCACGCGCCTCACAAGCAGCCGTCCACGCGCCTCACAAACACCCGTCCACGCGCCTCACAAGCATCCGTCCACGCGCCTCACAAGCACCCGTCCACGCGCCTCACAAGCACCCGTCCACGCGCCTCACAAGCACCCGTCCACGCGCCTCACAAACAGCCGTCCACGCGCCTCACAAACACCCGTCCACGCGCCTCACAAACACCCGTCCACGCGCCTCACAAACACCCGTCCACGCGCCTCACAAACACACGTCCACGCGCCTCACAAGCATCCGTCCTCAGGTTATATTTGTCCACGCAGTAGTCGACTCTCAGGACCTCTGTAAATCGGTATTTTCTTACAAGTAAACATTACTGAATTTTTAAATTTGTTGTATAGGTAGGCCTAAATTAGGCGTTTAAATCCTGTTGGCAGTTATTTGTACTTGAAGTACGTGAGTTGAAGTGTTCAGTGAGCAGAACTGAACAACCATTCAAACAGAGGTCGTCAGCGAAGCACTCTTAGAGAAATGTTCGAACAACTTAGCAAAGCAACTTTCCTTTGCTAAGTTGTGAGTGGCGATGCTAGTCTGTAGTTCAGTGGCTCATATGTCCTCCTATCATGTGTATTGACACCATGTTGGCTGTCTTCTAACTCTCTGGCAGCTCTCCCCTAACTCTCTGGCAGCTCTCTTCTAACTCTCTGGCAGCTCTCCCCTTACCAATATGGAGTTGGATACTAAAGTTGCAGCTTCAGCTTTAATATTTATTGAGGTGTGGGGTCCCACGGTAGTGAAGACGGCTCCGGAAATACCATTGTCTCAAGTTCAAGTATGTTTATTGAGACAAGAAAGAAATACATCTCAAAGCGATAGAGTAGCTTAGACTATTTCTACCCCTCTGCCCCCTTATTGTCTCAAGGAACTCAAAACGGTCGTCTTCTGGGTGTCGTGAAAGAGAAAAAGAGAAACAGGGAAAGAGAAAGGGAAGGATGGAAAGGGAAGGATAAATAAGAATGTAAGCATTAAGTTAAGAGGCGAAGAAGTGAATAGTTACAAGAATGAGAGGTGGAAGAGGTGAAGGCGTGACACTTTCTCCAGCTGTGAAAGAGGGAGACGGAGGAGAGGAAGAGACGCAGGAGGGAACCAGCGTAGAATGAAACAGGAATAAAGAGAGAATGACGAACACAAATGGAGATGAACATTCGTTAACTAAAAACTAGAAAAGAAGGAGTGGAGGTTGTGAAAGACATCGAGAAGCTTGGGGAAAGTTAACTTCATGAGGGTAACACCATCACTACGGCCACTGATGGTGGTGGTGACAGTGTTGATGGTGGTTGTGATAGGTGGGGGTGGCGGGCAGCAACAATGGGCACTATGCAGCAGCGTCAGTGGGTGGTGGGCAGCAGCGTCAGTGGGTGGTAGGCAGCAGCGTCAGTGGGTGGTAGGCAGCAGCGTCAGTGGGTGGTGGGCAGCAGCGTCAGTGGGTGGTAGGCAGCAGCGTCAGTGGGTGGTAGGCAGCAGCGTCAGTGGGTGGTGGGCAGCAGCATCAGTGGGTGGTGGGCAGCAGCATCAGTGGGTAGTGGGCAGCAGCATCAGTGGGTGGTGGGCAGCAGCATCAGTGGGTGGTGGGTAGCAGCATCAGTGGGTGGTGGGCAGCAGCATCAGTGGATGGTGGGCAGCAGCATCAGTGGGTGGTGGGCAGCAGCATCAGTGGGTGGTGGGCAGCAGCATCAGTGGGTGGTGGGCAGCAGCATCAGTGGGTGGTGGGCAGCAGCATCAGTGGGTAGTGGGCAGCAGCATCAGTGGGTAGTGGGCAGCAGCATCAGTGGATGGTGGGCAGCAGCGTCAGTGGATGGTGGGCAGCAGCGTCAGTGGATGGTGGGCAGCAGCGTCAGTGGATGGTGGGCATCAGCATCAGTGGATGGTGGGCAGCAGCATCAGTGGATGGTGGGCATCAGCATCAGTGGATGGTGGGCATCAGCATCAGTGGATGGTGGGCAGCAGCGTCAGTGGATGGTGGGCAGCAGCGTCAGTGGATGGTGGGCAGCAGCATCAGTGGATGGTGGGCAGCAGCAGCATCAGTGGATGGTGGGCAGCAGCAGCATCAGTGGATGGTGGGCAGCAGCAGCATCAGTGGATGGTGGGCAGCAGCATCAGTGGATGGTGGGCAGCAGCATCAGTTGATGGTGGGCAGCAGCAGCAGTGGATGGTGGGCAGCAGCATCAGTTGATGGTGGGCAGCAGCATCAGTGGATGGTGGGCAGCAGCATCAGTGGATGGTGGGCAGCAGCGTCAGTGGATGGTGGGCAGCAGCGTCAGTGGATGGTGGGCAGCAGCAGCATCAGTGGATGGTGGGCAGCAGCGTCAGTGGATGGTGGGCAGCAGCATCAGTGGATGGTGGGCAGCAGCAGCATCAGTGGATGGTGGGCAGCAGCGTCAGTGGATGGTGGGCAGCAGCGTCAGTGGATGGTGGGCAGCAGCATCAGTGGATGGTGGGCAGCAGCAGCATCAGTGGATGGTGGGCAGCAGCATCAGTGGATGGTGGGCAGCAGCGTCAGTGGATGGTGGGCAGCAGCGTCAGTGGATGGTGGGCAGCAGCAGCATCAGTGGATGGTGGGCAGCAGCAGCATCAGTGGATGGTGGGCAGCATCAGCATCAGTGGGTGGTGGGCAGCAGCAACAGTGGATGGTGGGCAGCAGCATCAGTGGATGGTGGGCAGCAGCATCAGTGGGTGGTGGGCAGCAGCAACAGTGGATGGTGGGCAGCAGCATCAGTGGATGGTGGGCAGCAGCATCAGTGGGTAGTGGGCAGCAGCATCAGTGGATGGTGGGCAACAGCGTCAGTGGATGGTGGGCAGCAGCATCAGTGGGTGGTGGGCAGCAGCAACAGTGGATGGTGGGCAGCAGCATCAATGGATGGTGGGCAGCAGCATCAGTGGATGGTGGGCAGCAGCAGCATCAGTGGATGGTGGGCAGCAGCGTCAGGGGATGGTGGGCAGCAGCAGCATCAGTGGATGGTGGGCAGCAGCAGCATCAGTGGATGGTGGGCAGCAACATCAATGGATGGTGGGCAGCAGCATCAGTGGATGGTGGGCAGCAGCATCAGTGGATGGTGGGCAGCAGCATCAGTTGATGGTGGGCAGCAGCGTCAGTGGATGGTGGGCAGCAGCATCAGTGGATGGTGGGCAGCAGCGTCAGTGGATGGTGGGCAGCAGCAGCATCAGTGGGTGGTGGGCAGCAGCATCAGTGGATGGTGGGCAGCAGCATCAGTGGATGGTGGGCAGCAGCATCAGTGGATGGTGGGCAGCAGCAGCATCAGTGGATGGTGGGCTGCAGCGTCAGTGGATGGTGGGCAGCAGCGTCAGTGGATGGTGGGCAGCAGCATCAGTGGATGGTGGGCAGCAGCGTCAGTGGATGGTGGGCAGCAGCATCAGCAGATGGTGGTGGGCAGCAGCAGCAGCAGTGGATGGTGGGCAGCAGCAGCATCAGTGGATGGTGGGCAGCAGCATCAATGGATGGTGGGCAGCAGCATCAGAGGATGGTGGGCAGCAGCGTCAGTGGAAGGTGGGCAGCAGCAGCATCAGTGGATGGTGGGCAGCAACAGCATCAGTGGATGGTGGGCAGCAGCATCAATGGATGGTGGGCAGCAGCATCAGTGGATGGTGGGCAGCAGCATCAGTGGATGGTGGGCAGCAGCATCAGTTGATGGTGGGCAGCAGCGTCAGTGGATGGTGGGCAGCAGCATCAGTGGATGGTGGGCAGCAGCGTCAGTGGATGGTGGGCAGCAGCAGCATCAGTGGATGGTGGGCAGCAGCAGCATCAGTGGATGGTGGGCAGCATCAGCATCAGTGGGTGGTGGGCAGCAGCAACAGTGGATGGTGGGCAGCAGCATCAGTGGATGGTGGGCAGCAGCATCAGTGGGTGGTGGGCAGCAGCAACAGTGGATGGTGGGCAGCAGCATCAGTGGATGGTGGGCAGCAGCATCAGTGGGTAGTGGGCAGCAGCATCAGTGGATGGTGGGCAACAGCGTCAGTGGATGGTGGGCAGCAGCAGCATCAGTGGGTGGTGGGCAGCAGCAACAGTGGATGGTGGGCAGCAGCATCAATGGATGGTGGGCAGCAGCATCAGTGGATGGTGGGCAGCAGCAGCATCAGTGGATGGTGGGCAGCAGCGTCAGTGGATGGTGGGCAGCAGCAGCATCAGTGGATGGTGGGCAGCAGCAGCATCAGTGGATGGTGGGCAGCAACATCAATGGATGGTGGGCAGCAGCATCAGTGGATGGTGGGCAGCAGCATCAGTGGATGGTGGGCAGCAGCATCAGTTGATGGTGGGCAGCAGCGTCAGTGGATGGTGGGCAGCAGCATCAGTGGATGGTGGGCAGCAGCGTCAGTGGATGGTGGGCAGCAGCAGCATCAGTGGGTGGTGGGCAGCAGCATCAGTGGATGGTGGGCAGCAGCATCAGTGGATGGTGGGCAGCAGCATCAGTGGATGGTGGGCAGCAGCAGCATCAGTGGATGGTGGGCTGCAGCGTCAGTGGATGGTGGGCAGCAGCGTCAGTGGATGGTGGGCAGCAGCATCAGTGGATGGTGGGCAGCAGCGTCAGTGGATGGTGGGCAGCAGCATCAGTGGATGGTGGGCAGCAGCAGCATCAGTGGATGGTGGGCAGCAGCAGCATCAGTGGATGGTGGGCAGCAGCATCAATGGATGGTGGGCAGCAGCATCAGTGGATGGTGGGCAGCAGCGTCAGTGGATGGTGGGCAGCAGCAGCATCAGTGGATGGTGGGCAGCAACAGCATCAGTGGATGGTGGGCAGCAGCATCAATGGATGGTGGGCAGCAGCATCAGTGGATGGTGGGCAGCAGCATCAGTGGATGGTGGGCAGCAGCATCAGTTGATGGTGGGCAGCAGCGTCAGTGGATGGTGGGCAGCAGCATCAGTGGATGGTGGGCAGCAGCGTCAGTGGATGGTGGGCAGCAGCAGCATCAGTGGATGGTGGGCAGCAGCAGCATCAGTGGATGGTGGGCAGCAGCATCAGTGGATGGTGGGCAGCAGCGTCAGTGGATGGTGGGCAGCAGCATCAGTGGATGGTGGGCAGCAGCGTCAGTGGATGGTGGGCAGCAGCATCAGTGGATGGTGGGCAGCAGCGTCAGTGGATGGTGGGCAGCAGCATCAGTGGATGGTGGGCAGCAGCAGCATCAGTGGATGGTGGGCAGCAGCAGCATCAGTGGATGGTGGGCAGCAGCGTCAATGGATGGTGGGCAGCAGCATCAGTGGATGGTGGGCAGCAGCGTCAGTGGATGGTGGGCAGCAGCGTCAGTGGATGGT